CATCCCAATCCAAATTTTTTCCAGCAAAAGCGGATGAAATACTTGGCCCGGAACACGACGGGAGATAACAATCCAAGAGGATAAAAAAGTTGGGCTACGAAGGACAACACATTTTTCTTGCTAAATAACACTTTAAATGGATGCACCAGGTAAGAGAAATTATCTGAAACTTGGTCCCATTTCAGTCCTAAGATTTTTGGATGGCCGAGGTGTCAGAAAAGGACATTGGTTTGATGTGCTCGACTGGGATATCAGATAAGACCTTATTTTCGTTGCTCTTTCATTTACTCAAAGTGAATCCCGCATAGACAATAACGATATCAGGTGATTCTTTAATGCGATAGCTTCTTTAATTTAAGCTCCAGATATCGTCAACATATGTATCATGACTACTTTGGATGCGAGAGGATAAGCTGAACATGCCTTAACTAATTGGTTGGCTAGCCCACAAAGTAACTATATTCAGCTCATACTCCTCAATTGTCGTACTTTTATCTAGACGCCAGAATATGTATTGAAAGTTTCTATCGCGTGGATGACTCAAAACCTGCCCATACATCATCTTGTGTTCTTCGCATACTGAAGAAGAAGAAGAAGAAAAATAACTTTATTCTGGGTCTGGTGTCCCCTAAGAATAATTTATATGAAATAAATAAAGGAAGTTCCTTCTATGAAGTTAAAAGTAAAAAAAAAGATAGAAATCATGGCACAATGTATACCAATAAGGCAGGACAGAAGAAAAAATTACGAGAATACTAAACAAAAATAACAAATGTTAACGTGAGGTCTCTGCTTGGAGGGAGAGGAGGTGATTATACAGGTGGGATTTAAAGGAGGAAAAGGCGGCAGCGTGACGAATAGAAAGGCGAAGGGAGTTCCAGAGTTTAGGGGCTCGGATCAGAAAGGATCTTTCGAAGGTATGGGTTGTATGTTGCGGAAGGATAAGGTCGGGGATGAGCGGGTCTTACGAGTGAGATGTGAGGAGTTGAATTGGAGGGATTGGATGATGTAAAAAGGACGACAAGTGTGGATGGACTGGAAAAGAAAGCAACCTAGGGAATACTGTGCACGTAAAGAGGGGAATAGCCAGGAACGTTGGGAATACAACCCCGACATCCGGGATCCCCGTGGGGTGCCGTACACAAATCTTACGCAACAATTCATAATACACTTCAATCACGCGTTCTCCCCCTCCGAGAGACCACCGTATGCCAAACAGCTATAATCGAAGAAGGGAAGTATAAGGGAAGATACAAGGAGTTTACGGGTGGAGAAAGGTAAGAGAAGCCAGGACCGACGAAACAGGCTGAGGGAGGCAATGGAATGGCGGGAAATTTGGGAAATGTGAGAATGCCAGGAAAGGTTTTGGTCAAAAACTTCTCCTAGGTTTTTAACCGAAGAGCAGAAGGGGATGGGGTGGTTATTTAGCATGAGAGGTGGGATGCTGGGGAGGGAATTGAGGAGTTGCCTGGACCCGATAATTATGGCGGTGGATTTGGACGGATTGAGGACTAGGAAATTTTTATGGGCCCATTCGTTGATGGAGTTTAGGTCATTTTGGATCTTGAGAGTGGCCGAGTGAAGATCGGAAGGGTGGAAGGATAAGTATATTTAGAAGCAATAGGATGCAGGCGGAAAAAAAATTAATTGAGAAAGTTCCTTTTGAAGTTTCGGATCAGGGAGCAATTGTTCGTTTGAAGCACTTTTACTATCGTCGGGGCTTGAAACATTGAAAACAACTCGAATTTTTCGTGAGAATCGTTTGTATATAGAGTTGTGCGGAGCTACATAATAGGACGGACTTCTAGAGTTTGTCATATGGCGGAAGCCCGAGTATTTTTGGAGGAAAGCGTTATATGCCACCTTACGAACACAGTCAAGATCTAAACGTCTTTCCAATTTGGTGTACTGCAGAAAGCTGAATTGCGATTAAAGCCTGGGGACGAAGAATAAGGCCGAAACGGTAAGGAACCAACATATCGACCATTTTCGTCTGGGTAATTGGTGTCTACGAAATGGTTCTCAAAAAACAGTTCTTCGGGATTTGATAGGGTTATGGAACGGAGTTCTTTGACACCCAGAAACGTTTCACCAACGCCTCAATGGAGGGTGACGTAAGTATGAATGACGACAATTTTGGGTTGCTTGCCGTGTCGACAAGACCTATAATTACCCACCCAAAAATTTTGCGTAATAGCGAAGGAGCCATGAATGATAGAGGGATTTGTAACTTGAAAAAGGGAGGGGTATAAATCAGCGAGTTGATAATTGATATTTGATAATTAAGAACAAGTGCCGGCGGAAGTACATCTGTCGCGATTCCTTAGAAAATTAAAACATCTTTTCAAATTTCTAATAACATCACATCTTTCATTGATGGATTGGAAATTTGGTCCATTAGTGGGAGAATGAGGGGCTTTACAAAGAGGACAAACTTTCGGAGAGGATTCTGAGGGACCGAACGACTGCCATTCCATTTTTTCACGACATAGAATGTGCGACAGTTTACGTTTTAAACTAATGCCTCGTAGAGAACTTTTTCCTGAGTGTTTGCCTCAAAATTGCGACAACGATCAGTAATAAAGTCGACCAGCATTTAATGACAGGGAATGGATTGGTTGCTACAATTTTTTTGAAGATCCTGCTGGGATTGGGGGCCCAGATTGTGGTTAAATAAAATGCAGTCAGCAAGATCAGGTAATTTCAAATCTTTGAGTGCGTTAACCGAGTTTCAATGAAGCTTCAGAAACCTTTGATAACTGTCGTAAGAATTGTCTTTTAAAATAGGAAAGTTTCTTAAATGGCTCACATGCAGGTTCGGCAGACGATTTTTGTATAGGTATCTATCGCGAAGTTCATCATACATAATTTATAAACGGAAGAAACATGAAAATTGGAAATGACAGAAAAAGAGTCTCCCCCCAAAAGTGTGCACGAAGTGGGACGACATCGGATAACGAGCTGTTTTTAGATATTTTCACATTGAAAAGCGAGAAAAAATTGTCCCCCTCTTCAATCTTGCCATCAAAAATCGGGATGCTCAACCGAGGCAAACAAATTATTTTTGATTAATCTAATTTCGAGTATTTTCCGACTTGAGCAACGGTGCTAGGAAGTAATTTCACAAGAGAATGGTACTTTCCTTTAACTTGCAACATCAATTCGTCAAAGGCTTGTTGTGCAGGTATCACAGGGAGGAAATGTTTCCGGTCGGCTAGTTGTGAGCTTCATTATTTAATCCTGACAAATTTCGAATTTTTCAGCAATATTGTCCAGAAGATCATCATGGGTTGTGAAAGAGGACAGGTTTACAAATGGTTAAGTCTCTAGATTTATCGAAAATTTTCTGTAATGTGGCCTACAGGTTTTCCTATTTACTTTCATAGTAACCTATGTTGTAATTGTTTTCTCATCAGGCATGATGATAAGAATGAGTAGTGAATTAAGATAATGAATGAAGCGGCCTGGAAGGTAAATGTAAAAAAAAAAGTTGTGAGGTTTCCGTGAAATCGAGGATCGAGATGTGGGCAATGAGCGACTGGAAGGGTACTGGAATGGAATACGTTAGAGCGTAGCACATGCAGGATACAGTTTGTAAAAGGAAAACGATGGAGAATGGGGCAAAGGATTTCGGAATTAGAAAAAGTAAATGGAAATTAGGAGTTCGGACAAGTTTGTCGCGGCCCGTACTGACCAAAATGTTTGGGCTGGATACTAAAATAAAATTTAAAATAAAGGAAATAAAAGAAAAAAACTCATGCGTGGATTGTATATATAAAAAAAGGAATCACTCACTGAAGGTCGTAGCGAGGTTGGGGCCCCGTTGCAACGCCGTAGAACGACCTGTAGTTCAGGAAGTTAAAAATAGGATGGGAAATTTTGGAAAATGTTAGAGGAAAATTGAAGGAAAAAGTAAGAGGTTCTCACGGGAGAGCTTATAAAAGAGGAGAGAGAGGTGAGCCGAGAAAAGGTTTTTTCTTTCCCAATAGGTTGTTACAGGGACGCAGAAAAATCGGAACTACCCGAAAATGACGGAGGGAGAGGTTAACGACAGGACTCAAAGGGTCAAGGCGCAAAGGCTATTTTGCTCTGGCCAAAACAGCAGTTAATTTGAAATTAAAAAGGGTAATTTATGCAAAAATAGTTTGATACAAAAAAGGATTATTTTTGTATTAAAAACGGATATTTTGAAGTTAAACAGGATTAATTTGAAGTAAAAACGGCTAATTTTGGAGGTTGGACGTCGAAATGTCGTATACCTGTGCACCTGGTTATTTTTCATCAAGGGTCCTCTCTATTCTGCTGGTCATTTGCCTCGAAAATAGTCTATTTGGTGTTAGATTAGGCTAACAAAAATAAGTTTATAGTGGATGATATCTTCTTTGTTGTCCTCTGCTTAGCAAGACCATGCCAATCGATTTCTATGAACTAGGAATTTTTTCCGATTCGAGAATGATTCTGGTCAGTCTGGTTTTATTTTGTTTTAATCGAAAGTAGGGTACAAAATTATCAGTTATTTTCTTCGTTGGAGGAATTTATTTATAAAAAATCAATTGCTGGTAGATAATTTTTCTGTAAAAATCACTATCGTTTTTTTCTTACTGCGACAATATTTTCGGATTTGTGGGCTTTCTAGTTCCAAAAGTGAAAGAACTTGGTTTGGAGGGCCTGTAGCACAAATTGCCGTTACTCCAGTGAAATCCTTCAGTTTTACAGCCTATGCATTTGCGGTATTGTGCAGGCAGGATTTTGTTAAAAACGCTGAGGCGATAAAGGCTTCCAATGCAAATAAGCTATTGCTGTCTTTATAAATGCTCACAAGGCTCTTGTGAAATGCTAATTTTTTAAAAGAAAAGTCGACAGGTATTTTTTATTCATAAAGATTTAGACCTCGTGTAAATTTCACCACCGCATTTTCCGTAAAAAAATCCTCGCGTTCCTGCCTTTCTTGAATTTATTGTTTTATGTTGAAAATTATTATGGTTCAATTTTTGTTTTAGGGTTCGCGAGGAACGATCAGAGGGTGAGGGTAGCCGCGAAAGGGTTGAAGTCGGAAAGAAACTTAACATCGCCAACATGTAGATTAGCACGTTTCTAATTTCTCCAGCCCTTCCAGCGACGACTTTTAATAAATCCCTTATATGTACAATAACGACATGTAAGTAGTTAAACATTTTATTAACCTTTGGTTTACTCGCATCCATGTTACTTCTGTTCTTTCATCGGTTTCGCAATTTCAAAATGGGAATTAGTTACAATTTAAATTCTTTCTTCATGCCTGTTAGTTTCTTTTTTTTAATTTGATCGGACAATACATTTGATTTTAAAATTAAGGGGTACCAACCGTTTTTCGGATAAAAAAAGACACATTTTTATCCCTTATTTGCTTATTTAACTCCACTTTTATTCGATTGATTTTGATTGCAATAAAGGTTTTTTTCCAAAAAGTCTGTACTTTCTGTTTAAGCATCAAACTGTATAATATTTTCTCGTATTTAACAAGTTTTTAATGTCATTTATTTGTTCAACAGTGATCATTTTTGGAGCCATTTTCTCAAAATCTATTTGTGGAATTACAACCGATCATGTTTAGTTTATTTTTCTTAGCATACTACAAATAGTTTGGTGTCTGCTTAACACAGCCCCAAGGAATATCGAGTACTCTGGGGGAGTGTGTATGCGTTCAGACTTCTATGCTGGTGGTTATGTTCATAATATATATTGAATGCTATGGGCATATTCTGTAATTGACAACCTAAAGGCGGCTCCAGACATGCGGTATTCGCCGAATGCCGATTGCCGCCGAATATTTGCCAAGTCTCTGGATGCTCGTCTTGGCATTCGCGAAATAGCGTGCCTACGTATACACACATGCGGGTTTTGTATAACCTCCTAGTTTTTGAGGAAACGGGGAATACGTATTTTCCAAATGCCGTGGGAGTCCTCAACTTACTACAAATCGTGATAGACAACAGTGAAACTGTCATTCCTGCAGCTGCGGTTAGTATTTGGTGCAGTGGAAACAAACTAATTGAAAAAAAAAATTAATTATATATTTTTAATTTTTGCTTCATTTATAAAACAATTTATGATTTATAGGAGAAGCTTTCCAAATTATTGGCTCTGTTTCGTAAACATTGAGGAACTCCAAAACTGTTGCATTGGGACAATCCATTCCTAATAAGAAAAAACAATGTTATTTTGTAAATTAACATCTATACTAGTTAACAATCGTTTATTAATTAAAAATAAATAGTATTACATAGAAGTATACGCTTACTGTTGATTTTGATAACAATTGATACTAGGATAAAGGTATTTACAGTTATAGTTGATTCCCGAATGTTTGGATGGTTTGAGTGCGGTTACTTCAGGAATATTCGTGCCCTTTGAAGCGGACAAGAAAACCGACAATAAACCGAACACGGCGGGTACCGGATGCTGTTATTCGGCGAATAGCCGAGCGTCCATCCACACTAGTCGAAGATTCAGCGAAAATTTTGCGCTGCATTCGACGAATACCGCATGTCTGCAGCCGCCTTTAGGTACAAATGGGAGGCTAGCGTTTTAGGATATCAACATAATTTTTGTATAAAAGCAATTAGTCAGTAACAGAATGAGACGCTCAATTTGCAGCAGGATGAAAAATATGCGTGAAAGACCTGAAAAAGAAGTAAAAACGCAGAGGGCCGGCGATGACCTCAGCCGTTTGTCGGCCTCTAAATTAAACTTTAAAATTTAACTTTCCACATACATCATTATTATCACTTCGAGGCTAGAGGCTTTTAAAACTAGTCATCGTTAATTTTTGGCAAAGCCCTAAAACTAATCAACTCAATCACTTCAATTTGCTTAGTTATTTGTTGTTAGAGAATTGCTAAGAAAATTAAAACAAAAAGATAAATTATTATCGTTAATTGATTTATTTTGATTAAATAACTTAATCTATATGTTGAAACTTGCATGTTTTTACTTGTACGTTAAAAATGAAGTACAACTACAAATTGTATATAGTCTAGATTATAGTATTATAATATCTATCATTGTCATCTATTTTTATTTACAATATGTGTCCAATTATTTGATAAAAAAAACACCAACCTGGCAGATGCACCAATGTCCATTGTCTTTTGTAAATTTAAAAGTAAAAAGGAAAATGTATAAAGTTCAATAAATTTACTTCTTTATTATTATTATTATTAATCAACACAATGCAGCTTGCCAATGTGATATTAGTTATGTGCAAAGTGAAAATAAAATGTTTTCAGAGCTTCAGACTGTGGTATACACTTTGACGTAAAAAGAAAGCACAAATGGCATAATAGTAGGAAAAAAGGAGAAAATCAAGAATAATTATCGATTATTATGTTCAAATGAAACAACTTAAATAATAAATGACCAAATTATAGGTTTATTTACCCGCAGGACACACAGACAGATCTTATAAATCTAATATTTATTAAATTAACAAAAAGTACCTATAGAAGTACCTTAAAACTTGACTTTAAATTTAAAAACAATTACTTTTTAAAAATATCGTTTTTCTTCCTTTTTTAAAAATTAAATTTATACGCAAATCCTCAAATTTATACCATAGAAAATTTAAAGGGCTAGCAACCGTTTTCCGGAAGAACAGATTTTTCTGTGAGATTGCCTCCCGTGGTCTGAGGGCTGATAAGTATAAATTTTGATTGTTACCTTGGTCCCGTTTCGGCATTTCGCACTCTTTCGTAAGTTTCGAAAAGCTGTACTAGTAGGAAAGTGTAATTTGATCGGATCTGATCATTTCGATCTTCCTACCCTCCCTGTTTTGGTCTCTCAGACGCGTTTGTGTCTGTCGGACGGTTCTCCACGGCTTCTCGCCATCTTCAGTACCATCCCTAGTTGTTTGCTTCCAAACCGACAAGAAACAATAAGAGTTATCACCTCGTACACCCCAAAAAGAAATCTCCCAATTTAAATGCATGCAGCTTGGACGTTTAAATTATTTTGGTCGCCCTAACTGCTATTTCTGTAAGTCGGACGGTTCTCCATTTCTTCTCACCATTTTCAGTGCCGTTCCTAGGTGTTTTCGGTCAAAATGATAGGAAACGATAAGGTTTATCACACCATAAACCACAAGAAGAAATCTCGCAATTTTAATGCATGTAGCGTGGTCATTTTAGTATACTACGAATTCTCAGTTAAGGGGTTATAAAGCTAATAAATCGTTCATTTTTGGCAAAGACCTAAAGTTGTGACAAAGTTTAAGCCAGCGTATTAAACTCTTAGCTCGAGGACTCAAGTCCATCTTGCAGTCTCAGCACAAAGCGATACATCTATCTAGCTCATACAACAAATATGGACACGTTCCTTTTGTCTAAGGGCTCATATTAGAAAAATCAAGAAAAACAGAACAGGGTCCTCATCACAGAAGAACCAAATCACACTCTTACAAGACCTAGACGGAAACGATCAGAATGTACAAAAAAATCATTGAAAATATAACTAACAATTAGTCCCATTTAAACGTATATAAAAAATCTTTTACTATCAATAAAGTTGTATGCCTTTATTTTAAATTTTACCAACGTATTATATATTAGTAGGATAAATATAAGTACGATAAATATATAGGATAAGGATGAGTAAGTCGATACGACTGATGGCGTGAAGGTATGAGTCCTCATAAGCGAGAATGGGCGGACACTGGGATGAATAATAAGTGAACAAATAGCCGACAAGATTTTATCTACTCGCGGACGACCAAGGAGCAAGGTTCCAAGTATGTACGGCGAAATGTCTGCTTTTTTGGTTTACTCATTTAAGCGTGTGTATTTAAAAAAAAATAATTTCTTTCATACGGGCAATTATTTTCAATTAAAATTTCATGGGCTACCCCGGAATTTGGACCCAGAACCGTTATCGTGGAAAATGATAGTTGGACACCGTAACCAGTCGGCCACCTCGTTCCTCTATATTAAAAAAGAATTTTTAGAAATAAATCAAAAGATAGAACATTTCTGCTTCACGGATAGACAAGACGAATTGACTCGATTGAGGTGAATTGGGGAGGAAAGGAGCGACTGCATGGATGGCACGAGTTCCGTGCCTTTTTGCATAGCCCTACATCCATTGACAGTCGATCAATGAAGAGCCTGTTCTCTCATCGAACGAGTTCAGATTTGACATTGATATTGATCTGTTTCGTGGAGTCGGGGCCGTTTGTTGGGACAAGTCAGGATGCTTTTATCGATGCCCGTATTTACTCAAAGTGCAATAGAGCCTAAGCCGAATCAAAAGTTCAGAATCGCTTTTAGGGGATTTTTCTCCCTCCCTATTCAAGTTTAGGGAGAAGAACAGATACAAAAAACACGACAAACAATATGAACTAAATTAAATGATATAGAGAGAAAATAGAACGTGCTTTATTTGTGTTAAGCCTAAGCTTATGAGATCTTATGAGACCTCTCGAGGTAAAGGTAGGCAAAGCTGTACTGTATAAATTTCAAAGTGACCCTTTTTAATTTCAAATTGACCTTTTTTACCTTCAAATTAACTCTTTTTTTCCAAGGATTAAAAAAACTTAGGAGATGGTATGGAATATAAGAATGGAAAGTAAAATTCTTAAATATTTAAATTTTTTAATATAAAATAATTGGACTCTTAAAATTATTACAGTTAATTTGTTCCAAGATTTTTCCCTCTCCTTCATAGCAACTATTCCCTTTCCTGTTCTATCCATCGATCAATGCAATTTAAATCAAATTTCACCATTTTTTTACTTGTTACTTGTTGTTGTTAGATAAATATCTTTTGGAGTTTAGTTGTGTTCCTTAACACAATTTTTTGAACCAAATTAACACATATCCCTGTCAGATGAACCTTTTTATAACTTCAAATTGTGCCTTTTTGACTTCAAATGAGCTCTATTGAATTTCAAATTAACCCTTTTTTAGAGCTTTAAAAAATCATAGGAGATGGTATGAAATATAAGCATTTAAATCAAAATTCCTTTATATTCGAAAATGTTTTCTTAGAAGGCCATATCAACATGAATTACAATTTAAATTTAAAATATACAAAATAAAATATAACAAATAAGGTTTTTTCTTTTAATTTGAGAAATGCAAGAAATTCTAGGCTTTTAAGACCCAATTATTTTATGTAAAAAAACCG